GGTTGGTGAGGAGAGTCACTGTGAACCAAGGTGGAACAGCTAGGGCGCGTCCTGGCAGCATCCGTTGGTGAAGGGTTCTAGAGGTAAAACCAGACATTCCGAGGTTTGTCTGTCGCCTCTGTCTCTTTATTACTGAATTTGGGAGTGGGGCTTTGTGGCACTCACTCTTGCAGAACAAGGGGTCGGCAGAGACAGTCCATTGACAGGAGGTTCTTCTATGGTGCTGGTGTCATGGTGTGTGAGCCTTTGTGTCTGATCGCTAAAAGGCTATGGTGACTATGACTTCACACCCACTAGAATACGCTAAAATAAAATGATGGACAATGGCAAATGTTGGAAAGGAGGGTGGCACAATTAGAGCTCTCCACATTGTTGGTGGGATTGTAAAGTGGTACAAATAACTTTGGAGAAACTGCTCTGTATAGAAGTTAAACATGTATCTACCCCATGATCTAGCAATTCCCCTCCCAGGAATCCACCCAAGTGATATAAAATATACGTAAACATAAAGACATAGAGATGAGTATTCATAGCAATTCCTTATTCACAATAGCAAAAACGGAACAATCAAATGTCCATCATTGGGATACATAGATAAACAATTCGTAGACATATCATACAATGGAATACTATTCAACAATAAAGAACAATCTACAATTCACGTAACAATATAGATGAATCCAAAAAGCATGATGTTGGCCGCAGCGGTGGGTGGCTCCACGCCTGTAATCCTGCACTTTGGGAGCCGAGGCGCGGATTGTCAACGGTCAGGAGTTCGAAAAGCCAGCTGAGCGCAGCACCCCGTCTTCTACCAGAAAAGTAGAAACATAAATTAATTGACAAACTAAAAAATATATATACAAAAATTAGCCGGCATAGTGGGCGTGCTTGTAGGCCAGCTACGTCGGGCAGGCTGAGGCAGTGGATCGCTGAGCCCCGGAGATTGGATGGTTGCTGTGAGCCAGGCTAATCCACGGCACTCACTCTAGCTGGGCACCAAAGGAGACTCTGTCTCAAAAAAAAAAAAAAAAAAAAAGATGATTTGAGTGAAAGAATTCAGAAACAAAAGTAAACATGCATTCCGTTATATGAAGTCCAAAAAGAGGCAAGACTCATCTATGAGAATAGGATCAGGACTGTGGTTGCCTATGCAGTTGGGGTGCGGAGGGGGAATTGACTGGAAAGGGGCATGAGAACTCTGATGGAGGTCGATATTTCTACATGCTTGGTTACTTGGGTGAATATGCTCGTGAAACTCATCCAGCTGAACACTATGACCTGTACATCTTCTTGTTATAAATTAGGCCTCAATAAAGTATTTATTGAATACAGTTTTCAAAGATGATGGTTAGCTTGGTTTCTTTGCTGTTTCATATCCTCATTATTTGTGTTCATCAGGGTTGGTCATCTTTGCAATGACAGATGACGTAACATCTTAACGTATATAAGTGTTTTGTGGCGCGGTGGCTCATGCCTGTAATCCTAGCACTCTGGAGGCGAGGTGGGCTGGATTGCTCAGGTCAGGAGTTCGAAACCAGCCTGAGCAAGAGCGAGACCCTCTCTACTATAAATAGAAGAAATTAATGGCCAACTAATATATATAGAAAAAATTAGCCGCGGCATGGTGGCGCATGCCTGTAGTCCCAGCTACTCGGGAGGCTGAGGCAGAGGATCGCTTGAGCCCAGGAGTTTGAGGTTGCTGTGAGCTAGGCTGATGCCACGGCACTCACTCTAGCTGGGCAACAAAGCGGACTCGTCTCAAAAAAACAAAAAGTATTGTAAGCAGGTCTTCTTCCATTTTTTTTTTTTTTAGACAGAGCCTTGCTTGTTCCCCAGGCTGAGTGAGTGCTGTGGCATCAGCCTTAGCTCACAGCAATCTCAAACTCCTTGCTCAAGCAATCCTGCTGCGCTCAGCCTCCCGAGTAGCTGGACTACGAGGCATCGCACCTTGCCCGGCTTATTTTCTATATTTATATTAGTTGGCCAAATTAATTTACTTGTCTATGTATAGTTATCAGTTGGACTTCTCAACCATACCCTTCTCTCGGGTATGGTTGGTGGGAGAAGGTGGTTAAGAAGTCCCAGAGCATTGGCTTTATCTGCCAAGAATGCCAAAGGTATGATTGACACATTGGCTATTTACAACCTTGTCCTCAAGGACCTCTTACCCACATGTCCATCTTCATACACTGGCTTCCCTCTCTCACAATTTGAGCAGCAGGAAACCACCACTCCTAACTTTTACACCTGCTGGGTTTTTTTGGGTTTTTTTTTTGTAAGTCTCTGGAAACTTTCCATGACCTGTAGTAGAGTGTTTCATAAAGATTTAGCTCTTCCTTTGAACCAGCTCAGCCAATAAACCAAATATTTTCTCCTGGATTTTACACCTGCTGGGTTTTTTGGGGGGTTTTTTTTTTGGTAGTCTCTGGAAACTTTCCATGACTTGTAGTGATGTTTCATAAAGATTAGCTCTTCCTTTGAAAGCTCAGCCAATAAACCAATTTTCAAACAAAATAATAATCTGACTTGTTACCAGCCAACCCAGAGCTTAGGGAAAGCTCCCATTTTCTAAAATCTAAATCTCTGGATTCTGAGGACAGCAACAGATTCCACAGTGGTTATGGTCAAAAGTGTGTGGGG